CCACATGCTACACTCCACCCCACACGTCACACTCCACCCCACACGCCACACTCCACCCCTCACGCCACACTCCACCCCACACGCCACACTCCACCCCACACGCCACACTCCACCCCACACGTCACACTCCACCCCACACGTCACACTCCACCCTACTCGTCACACTCCACCCCACACGCTACACTCCACCCCACACGTCACACTCCACCCCACACGTCACACTCCACCCCACACGTCACACTCCACCCCACACGCCACACTCCACCCCACACGTCACACGCCACCCCACACGTCACACTCCACCCCACACGTCACACTCCACCCCACACGCCACACTCCACCCCACACGCCACACTCCACCCCACACGCCACACACCACCCCACACGCCACACTCCACCCCCACACGTCACACTCCACCCCACACGCCCACACTCCACCCACACGTAACACTCCACCCCACACGCCACACTCCACCCACACGTCACACTCCACCCCACACGTCACACTCCACCCCACACGTCACACTCCACCCCACACGCCACACTCCACCCCACACGCCACACTCCCCCCCACACGCCACACTCCACCCCACACGCCCACACTCCACCCACACGCCACACTCCACCCCACACGCCACACTCCACCCCACACGCCACACTCCACCCCACACGCCACACTCCACCCCACACGCCACACTCCACCCCACACGCCACACTCCACCCCACACGCCACACTCCACCCCACACGCCACACTCCACCCCACACGCCACACGCCACCCCACACGTCACACTCCACCCCACACGTCACACTCCACCCCACACGTCACACTCCACCCACACGTCCACACTCCACCCCACACGCCACACACCACACCCACACGCCACCACTCCACCCCACACGCCACACTCCACCCCACACGCCACACTCCACCCCACACGCCACACTCCAGTCCACCCCACACGCCACACTCCACCCCACACGCCACACTCCACCCACACACGCCACACTCACACCCTCACACGTCACACGCCACCCCACCCAACACCACACTCCACCCCACACGTCACACTCCACCCCACACGTCACACGCCACCCCACACGCCACACTCCACCCCACACGTCACACGCCACCCCACACGTCACACCATCCGAGACCTCACACTCCATAACACACACACGCGAGCTTATCCACACAGCACATTCCTCTCCACACAGCACATTCCTCTCCACACAGCACATTCCTCTCCACACAGCACATTCCTCTCCACACACAAAACTCTTTATTCCCCCAACACATTCAACAACAACAACACAACAATATATCCCCAAAATAGCAGCCACCCCCCCCCCACACCACAACAAATACGCCACCTTTCCTCATCCCACATATACCCATACTCATCCAGACATTAAGCATCCTCACCCCACACTTCTCCATACAATAAACTCTCCGCCCATGAAGCACGGACACACTGTTCCCATACCCCACACTTCCCCCTTCACAACACACACACCACCCTGCTCCTACACCCCACACTTCCCCCTGCACAACACACACACCACCCTGCTCCTACACCCCACACTTCCCCCTTCACAACACACACCACCCTGCTCCTACACCCCACACTTCCCCCTTCACAACACACACCACCCTGCTCCTGCACCCCACACTTCCCCCTTCACAACACACACACCACCCTGCTCCTGCACCCCACACTCCCCCCACTTCACAACACACACACAACACCCTGCTCCTGCACCCCACACTTCCCCCTTCACAACACACACACCACCCTGCTCCTGCACCCCACACTTCCCCCTGCACAAACACACACCACCCTGCTCCTACACCCCACACTTCACCCTTCACAACACACACACCACCCCTGCTCCTGCAACCCCACTCTTCCCCCTGCACAACACACACCACCCTGCTCCTACACCCCACACTTCCCCCTTCACAACACACACACCACCCTGCTCCTACACCCCACACTCCCCTCTCACAGACAACACACACGCGAGCCCTCACCCTACTCCTCCTTAAATCCAACACAAAACATTTCACTCGATCCGAAGCACTGTTGTAGTTATCTTTACAAACCAACACTTACTCCCTCTGACGTTCGTCTTTTTGCTCAACCGAGAAATAAAACAATGTTTCAAAACCCTTAATTATCGAAATGTCTAGATGTTTGAATTATATTTACATTGGGGAGTTTTAGAATTATATGTACCCAAAAAAAGCATTTAAAATATTCTTTAATAAATAATTATCTAATCCTGAAGGCTTATTCGAGTATATATTAATATTAATATTAATATTAATAGATACTTCCACGTCACTTCAACACAATCTGTGGTCTGTGGGAAATGGTGTTTAGTGTAATCTCGTTGTATAAAGAGTATATCAATCTAAATCTTAACTTTCTCTGATTAATGTATTTTCTCTTTTTTATATATATAGTTCAGTGATTCAATTATAATACAGTAGAGCATGCCCAACTATACTGCCGCTCCGGAAACTACAGGACTGCGGGGAGGTAATGAGTAGCGAGACTTGAAATACGACCCCACAACAGGCGGCCAGATGCTGCCTTATATGATAACAACAGTGAGTTATGACTCAACTCATTCAGCTCCGCTAAGTTAGGGAAGCAGATGTGCACGGCGTCAAAAACTGTCAACACCAAGACCTCGTTTCTGTCTCCTGCACACATCTGCACGCTCGCGGAGACCAACCAAAAGGGGGAAATCTCAGGACGACACAATTTTGTAAATACAATGTTACATGTTTCTTATATATATATATATATATATATATATATAAAATCCTGCTTAACTAACCGGCTCATATATTTTAGAAACTGTTCCCAATACAGACAAATGACTGGTTGGAGAGGAATAGTCCAAGAATAGACCTTATCGAAACTCTAGAGTTTGGATAAGGTGCCATACGAAAATCTACCACAGAAACTTCAAGTATTTGCAATAAATGGTAAAATACTGGAACGTGTAAACCATTGATTAACACAAGAAATGCAGAGTAGTTCTCGATGAGGATGAGAAATGCATGGTTATACAACAGGACAATAAGAAGGACCTTTGACAAGCCACCGGTTTCATGTCCCCGTTGATAGTTTTAAAGTTGACGGTCCTCAGGTATTAACGTTATGAACATGAATGGTACTATACACGTGGTATTTTGTTGACAGGCGATTTAAACTAGTCTCTACGTTCAGATTACTTTCTCTCGTACCGTGTATACATTGCGGCATAACATCTTGTACACGTGTATCTCACCTCCACACCCGCCCGCAACAACAGCCACGTAGCCCTCACCAACACTCCCCTTACCCATTACAGACCCGGACATCACGCGCGGTGACGGGGTCTACACGCGCTACGCTCCCCCTCTGGACGGACCTGCCCGCTACGCCCTGCTGCTCTCCGTGGACGCTGGCAAGGCCGTGCTGGCGCTGGCACAGACCCACGTCAGGGACCACGACTTGAGGCACCACAGACACGCCTACACCAAAGAGGTGAGTGTGAGTGTGTGTGTGTGTGTGTGTGTGTGTGTGTGTGTGTGTGTGTGTGTGTGTGTGTGTGTGTGTGTGTGTGTGTGTGTGTGTGTGTGTGTGTGTGTGTACCCACCTAATTGTGCTTGCGGGGGTTGAGCTTTGGCTCTTTGGTCCCGCCACTCAACTGTCAATCAACTGGTGTACAGATTCCTGAGCCTACTGGGCTCTATCATATCTACATTTGAAACTGTGTATGGAGTCAACCTCCACCACATCACTGCCTAATGCATTCCATCCATTAACTACTCTGACACTGAAAAAGTTCCTTCTAACGTCTCTGTGGCTCATGTGGGTACTCAGTTTCCACCTGTATTCCCGTGTTCGCGTCCCACCAGTGTTGAATAGTTTATCCTTGTTTACCCGGTCGATTCCTCTGAAGATTTTGTAGGTAGTGATCATGTCTCCCCTTACTCTTCTGTCTTCCAGTGTCGTAAGGTGCATTTCCCGCAGCCTTTCCTCGTAACTCATGCCTCTTAGTTCTGGGACTAGTCTAGTGGCATACCTTTGGACTTTTTCCAGCTTCGTCTTGTTCTTGACAAGGTACGGGCTCCATGCTGGGGCCGCATACTCCAGGATTGGTCTTACATATGTGTCGTACAAGATTCTGAATTATTCCTTACACAGGTTCCTGAACGCTATTCTGATGTTAGCCAGCCCCGCATATGACACAGACGTTATTCTTTTTAAGTGGGCTTCAGGAGACAGGTTTGGTGTGATATCAACTCCTAGATCTTTCTCTCTGTCCGTTTCATTAAGTACTTCATCTCCTATTCTGTATCCTGTGTCTGGCCTCCTGTTTCCACTGCCTAGTTTCATTACTTTGCATTTACTCGGGTTGAACTTCAACAGCCATTTGTTGGACGATGTACTCACCTAATTGTTGAGTACATGGTCCAACGATTGGCTGTTGAAGTGCAACCCGAGTAAATGCAAAGTAATGAAACTAGGCAGTGGAAACAGGAGGCCAGACACAGGATACAGAATAGGAGATGAAGTACTTAATGAAGTACTTAATGTGTGTGTGTGAGTGTGTGTGTGTGTGTGTGTGTGTGTGTGTGTGTGTGTGTGTACTCGCCTATTTGTACTCACATATTTGTGCTTGCGAGGTTTAAGCTGTGGCTCTTTGGTCCCGCCTCTCAACTGGTGTACAGGTTTCTGAGCCTTTTGGGCTTTATCTTATCTACACCTGAAACTGTGTATGGAGTCAGCCTCCACCCCATCACTTCCTAATGCATTCCATTTGTCAACCACTCCGACACTAAAAAAAATCTTTCCATTATCTCTGTGGCTCATTTGGGCACTCAGTTTCCACCTGTGTTCCCTAGTGCGTGTGCCCCTTGTGTTAAATAGCCTGTCCTTATCTACCCTGTCAATTCCTCAGAATCTTGTACTCCCCCCAACTCTTCTGTCTTCCAGCGACGTGAGGTTTAATTCCCGTAGTCTTTCCTCGTAGGTCATACCTCTCCGGCCAGGTACTAGTCTGGTGGCAAACTTTTGAACCTTTTCCAGTTTACTCCTATACTTGAGTAGATATGGACTCCATGTTGGGGCTGCATACTCCAAAATTGGTCCGACATAGGTGGTATACAAAGTTCTAAATGATTCCTTACACAAGTTTCTAAATGCCGTTCTTATGTTGGCCAACCTCGCATATACTGTTGATGTTATCCTCTTGATATGGGCTTCAGGGGGATAGGTCTGGCGTGATATCAACCCCCCAAGTCTCATTCTCTCTCTCAGACTCTTGAAGAATTTAATCTCCCAAATGATTCCTTGTAACTGGCCTCCTGCTCCCTACACCCGTCTTCATTACATTACATTTGCTTTTGTTAAGCTCTAACAACCATTTGTTCGACCATTTCTTCAGTTTGTCTAGGTTTTCTTCAAGTCCCAAGCAGCCCTCCTCTGTCATAATCCTTCTCATAATTTTGGCATCGTCAGCAAACATTGAGAGGAATGAGTCTATTCCCTCAAAGAGATCGTTTACGTATCAGAAACAAGATAGGACTGAGTTCAGAGCCCTGTGAGACTTCACTGGTGACTTCACGCCAATCTGAGGTCTCTCCTCTTACTGTAACTCTCTGCTTCCTATTGCTTAGGTATTCCCTTATCCACTCGAACATTTTACCAGTTACTCCTGCCTGTCTTTCCAGCTTATGTACCAGCCTCTTATGGGAGTCTGTGTCAAAGGCTTTTCGACAATCCAAAAAAATGCAGACTGTCCAGCCTTCTCTTTCTTGCTTAATCTTTGTCACCAGGTCGTAGAATTCTATTAAGCCAGTTTCTATTTAGCTAGTAAGCCAGAATTCTATTAAGTCTCTTCTCTTCAGATGTGTTATTAGATTTTTCTCACGATCTTCTCCATCACCTTGCATGGTATTCAAGATAAGGGCACTGGCCTGTAGTTCAGTGCCTCCTGTCTGTCACCCTTTCTGTATATTGGGACCACATTAGCCGTCTTCCATATTTCTGGTACCCCTCTGGAGGTATGGAGTTTTAAGTTGCATATATGCTTAGGGACCATCCAAGCTTGTTCGCACTTGTGTTGCTCACGAGGCCCCACAAAGTGAGGTGATTCGATGAAATATCTTTGCCCAAGCTTACCACCAAGTACTGTCGGGATGATGGGAAAATAGCCTCGGTTACCAACGTCTTTGTACAGTCACGGATGGTCGAGTGGTTAAAGAACCAGGCATGACGTGGTTCATTGAACTCCTGGCTGTCTGGGTTCGAATCCCTCTGGGGTGTGGAGTTTTCAGTTGCATATATGCTTGGGGACCATTCAAGCTTGTTCATATATATATATATATATATATATATATATATATATATATATATAGCAGTCTTTCTTGTAAACATATTTTGTTGAATATGACCGAAAGAGTATGATTAAAGATTCTAACACGAATTTTCTCAATATTTCTTACGTTTTTCTTCACTGTCGGTGGTAATTTAAATTTTAACTCTCCAGAGATCATTTTCTTATTTTTTATTTATGGTCTCATACCTAAAAGCGTTTCGCAAGGGCTTCTTACATTTTCAAAGACAGGTTTACACATATCATATATCATGCTCATATTCGTTTTGGGTGAGGTGACAGAACACGAATCAATGGGTATAAATTGGATATGAAATATGGGAACCAACCTGTGAGATTTATATATATTTAACTAATATGAATTTATATGGAATTTATATTTACGTTAATTTATATATTTCGATAGCAATTTGTATGATGTTAAGTGGACTGTATATCTGCAATAATCTCACAAATCGATCCTTACACATTAGGGGGGTTTATATTAAATTTATATATATGCAGCCAATCAAACTACAGTATTAAACTACATATATTAATATATAAAATTGGGGATGCCTTTTCTTATTGTACAGCAGGCTTAGTCCACTAGATATAACTAGGATGTAGACACCAAATTATCCTCGTGTGAGGCTAGCTTCCATCACCCATAGTAACTGATTTACCAAAATTAATTCTTGCTTCCTCTTCTTGTTACTGTCAAAGGGCACGAGCAGTAATGCCGGAATCCTTATATATGACAGCTATATCAGAGAAAACACTGTATATTATATAAGATAAGGACCAAGGCTTAATTACCTGTATTGAGTCGATCGTTCGTGTTCTATCCAGTTCGCCCTTTATCTACCTAACATTAACTGGCCAGAAATGATTAGATAAACGGGTTTCGGTAAGACACTTCCCTTGTTTATGTTGACAGCGTGTTGATGATGGAAGAACACTAATTTGATCTCCATAACACTTCTTCCAAGAAAATTTATAGGAGCTGAATTTGCTCCCATGACTCTGGTCTTAACAAACAATGGCTGACCTCTCTCCCTACTGACTGACTCCTTGGCTCTCCTTGTCCAATGTCAATAAGTGATAGAAGGATCACATTTACTCTATTTTGATACTGATAGTTAAGTTAATTCAAATGAGGTGTTTTTATGATATTAAAAGTCCAAAGACTACTGTATTAAGAATAATTTCAACAGAATAGCTGGTGAATTTATAGTACTATGTGGCAATGATATCCAGATTTCTATTGACGGAAAATTCCACTACAAGCTACATTTTCTATGGGTAACTTGTGTATACAACGGCAGCAGCAATATTATCTGCCTATTGTATGTAATATTATTAAATGGTTTCGGGTTTTCCGACATGAAAACATAAGAATGAAAGTAGCTACAGAAGGCCTATTGGCACATATTTTCTCTTGTTGCTTTTATGTTGGTTCGGGGTCTTGAAGTGGGTAGAATATAGTTATGCATTAATTGGCTGTTGATTGCTGGCGTTGACTTTTTTATGTGTAGGGCCTCGCTGATGTCGAGTCTTCTGCTATAGCTGTATCTATCGATGATGTCTGTGTTGTTTGTTAAGCAACTAGGGATGGTGATGGTCTGGTTGTGAGAAGAAATTATATGTTCCTTGATGGAGCCCTATTGTTTGTGAAGCGTTAATCGCCTAGAATGAGACGTTGTTGTCTTACCTATATACTGAGATCTTTGGGGCTTACAGTCCCCAGGTGGGCATGTGAAGGCATAGACGACGTTGGTTTCCTTCAAGGCATTCTGTTTGGTGTTTGGGGAGTTTTTTTATTAGTAGGATGGCCGATTTCGTGTTTTTGTAGTAAATTGGCAATTGTATTTTCTGATTTTTGTCTGTATGGATAACGTTCCTATTAATAATATCTTTCAGGACACTTTCCTCCGTTTTATGAGCCATCGAAAAGAAGTTCCTGTAAAACAGTCTAATAGGGGGTACAACTGTTTTGATAGTTGAATCTTCAGACGTTGCATGGCGTTTCACCTTCCTTTTTATGATGTCTTCAACGAAACCATTAGAGAAGCCGTTGTTGACTAGGACCTGCCTTACCCTACAGAGTTCTTCATCGACTTGCATCCATCCTGAGCTGTGACTGAGAGCACGGTCGACGTAAGGGTTGACAACACTCCTCTTGTACCTGTCTGAGCAGTCACTATTGGCCTTGAGGCACATTCATATGTTTGTTTCCTTAGTGTGGACTGCAGGGATCGCTGCGTGCATGTTGACCAAGATATTGACTAGACCTAGAATCAGTTCACATAAAGATATAATCACAGGAGCACTAACTCTGGACAGAAGAGCCTCCAATAGCAACAGGTGGACCCATTGTGCGATAAACACCATCAATACATTCGATATAACAAACACAATCACTGAGAATGGTGTCGACGAAATACATGCAGACTTTGTCATGCACGCCCCTTGGGAATCTCTGCCAGCAGACTTTATGATTATGGTTATTGAAGGAAAAAAGAACCAGACAAATCCTCATCTGCTACGTAACATTGCACAGATGCATATAGAAGCAAACTTGGCATCCGACAGCTTCACTTACTTCACAGATGGATCAGTAGACCAGCAGGGACAAGAAACCTGAGCTGCAGTTAAAGCAGGAAACTCTGTAAATAGTTGGAGGCTCTCAAATGAGTGTTCGACTTTACAAACAGAGATGCTAGCCATTCAAAAGACTTTGGAACATGCTCTTGCTCAACGCCGACAACATGTTATCATACATACAGATTCGAGAACCGCTATTTAAACCTTGCAACAAGAACACATATGTGATAACGTACATCTGATCACAAATGTCATATCATTAATGCAAACACTCAAAGGACAAGGCTGACGGGTACTTATCAACTGGGTGCCAAGTCATGTGGGAATAATAGGAAATGACATTGCAGACGAAGCTGCAAAACTTGCAACTAAGAGAAGAAATGTAGACATTTACATACCACAGAGTCTATCACAGATTAAGAAAGTAATTAGAAACAGAGCAATGCAAAAGATGTACAGTGACCACAATACAGCAGTTGCAACATCAGGATCTGCGGGTTGGTACAAGAATTCAACCAACTACGAACCACTTAGTTTGATGAAAGGGAGCAGTAGAGAAACAGAAGTACACTTACATCGCATCAAGCTTGGATACCCATGTGCATGGGAAATAGGCTTACAGGTTCCGGAAGATGAGAGGAAATGTCAGCACTGTGGAGAAATGCCCGACAGGCCACTGGAACATTATTTAACACAGTGCACAGTTACAAACCCATTAAGATTTCAACTTAGATTCAACAGAACAGAAGAAGTTGTTAAACACATATGACAAAATCTTACTGAAGCGACCATACGAGTCATAAATACTTATACTCCGCCCAAGTAAAACAGAAACAAGCAACACTTAGTGGGCCAGCCAGAGACTTAGGGCCCACGCAGGAATATCCCTGCAAAAAAAAAAAAGTGTGGAAGCCTCCATTCGTTTCCGTGACTGAAACATCTAGAAAGGGCAGCTTCCCATCATTCTCCATCTCGTAAGTGAAACTTAACACCGAATTCTGCTCGAAGGCCTCCTTCAGCTGCTGCAGACGTCTGACATCAGGTACCTGCATAAAAATGTTGTCAACATACCTGCAGTATATGGCGGGTTTCAAGTCCATGTCAACTAAGACCCTCTGCTTATGGTACCCATGTCGAAGTTCGCAAACAGAACACCTAGGGGGAGATCCCATATTATATATATATATATATATATATATATATATAGGGGTGGTAGGAGAAGAAAATATCAAAGTGTTCAGTGAGGATCCACAAGGTCTTCTCTGAGTACTCTTTATTTTCTTCTCCGAGGCTATGGGTCCCTACACTTGCACCAGAGGTGGTACCCCTTATATATATTTAAAAAAAAATTATATATATATATATATATATATATATATATATATATATATATATATATATATATATATATATATATATATATATATATATATATATGTCGTACCTAGTAGTCAGAACGCACTTCTCAGCTTAATATGCAAGGCCCAATTTGCCTAATAAGCCAAGTTTTCACGAATTAATTCTTTTTCGACTACCTAACCTACCTAACCTAACCTAACCTAACTTTTCGACTACCTAACCTAACCTAACCTATAAAGATAGGTTAGGTTACGTTAGGTAGGGTTGTTTAGGTTCGGTCATATATCTACGTTAATTTTAACTTCAATAAAAAAAAATTGATCTCATACATAATGAAATGGGTAGTTTTATCATTTCATACGAAAAAAAATAGAAAAAATATATTAATTCAGGAAAACTTGGCTTATTAGGCAAATCGGGCCTTGCATAGTAGGCCGAGAAGTGCATTCTGGCTACTAGGTACATTATATATATATATATATATATATATATATATATATATATATATATATATATATATATATATATATATATATATAATATAATATGGGATATATAATGTGTGTGTGTGTGATGTACCTTCAGTATGTATGTGATTTTATGCATTAATTAGTGCTGCAACAAATTTCAGAGCAAGTCACGACAAGTAAAATTTTTCGTTAGTCGTGACACAGGAAATCTATGTGAAAGCGTCAGTATTTGCTTGCGCAAGTATGTGTGTATTCCGAGCTTTGCCATGTTTGTTAACTAGTGAGGGAGTGCATGTACACATGTACTGATATGTTGACACGTTCATCAGGGCTGTTTGTTAATGTATCGATGCGAGGAATCTCTGTGTGGTTAAGCCTTATTTGCTGTTTGTATTCGGCTTTTTCAGCGATCTTGTTGTCAAACTCAAATACTTCCTGTTTTAACATTTGCTGCCTGTATTTTCCAGCCGTTATACTGAGTAAGCAATAGATAAATGAAGGAATGTGATTATAGCGTTCACTTTGTTTTGTCATATATGAAATACACTTATTGCCTAAATAACAAATATTTTAATACGGTAAAAAAAATTTCAATGACTGAAACGTGTCTCTGTACTATACATTAATTCAATGTATTATTTCCCATATAAATACTGAATAATATATTATTTATCTCACTCGTCAAAACAAAAAAAGTACTAAATAATAAGTTAATTGACCATAAACAGGATCAAAATAAAATATACACTGAAGCGATACATGTGTTATTAATGTAAGCTAGAAGCATTCATGCACAAGTGTCATTGCCTGTGTGTTAAGTGTTACATCAGCCATTTAGAGAGTGCAACTTTTTCAATTTAAGAATTATAAAAGAGATTCAAAAAATCTTCGTTTCATTTGGCAGACGAATTCGCAAATAAGCAAACTCAAATATCACTTAAATGTCTTTACTCTTTGAAAGTAATTTGCACAATTTTTACTCTATTTTTTTTATTTTCTATATATAAAATAAACTTCTCATTAAGATTATTTACTAAAGTTCTAAGAATATGTTATGCAATTTGCCCTAAATCAAGCTTCAACGCTAACAAATAGCAGAACACCACATTTTTTATTTTCAAAGACAAGTTCGAAAAGGTCCTTTTATTAAAGATCAGGGAAACTGTTAAACTTTCGCGTGTTTATTCAGGTAGTAGTTCTAAGTGGAATGACGTTTGAATGGGAAGAAAATAGAGAAATGTATATATGTTCATATGAGCTAGATATCTACAATTTCGCAAAAAACTTCTACTGCAAAAAAACTTATTTCACAATGATTCGAAAAGATGGGTGAAGTAAGTACTAGATTAGAATATCTAAAATTGGTAGGCGAGTGAAAGGAAGAGTTTGATGGAACGAGAATATAAGTGAATTACGTCAGGGGGTGGTTAAGGTAAGTTAGGATTGTTCGGTGTAGAATTAGTTAAGCTAGGTCAGTGTAGTATTGGTTAAGGTAGGTTAGGCTTTGTCAATGTAGGATTTTTTAGGCTAGATCGGTCTTGGATTCGTAGGTAGGTTAGGCTTGTTCGGTGTAGGATTCGTTAGGGTTGGTTAGGCTAGGTCGGCGTTGGATTGGTTATGGTAGGTAAGGCTTGGTCGGCAATGGATTGGTTAAGGTAGGTAAAGCTTGGGCGATGAAGGATTGGTTAGACTAGCATAGATGAGGTTTCAATAATTTTAGGTATTTGGATATGCTGCCCATTGATTGCAGTGTCAATATTGCCACAAATCTTCCTGACAACTTATTTCAAGTATGATTTATTCCCAAAAAGTTAAATAATATAGCAAATTCTCCATTCGTATACGCTAAAAATATATTTCCAATTATATATACACTTTTTGTTTAAGTTGTAATGAATTAAATGTAATAACAATGATTCAAAAACGTTTACAAGGTAAGATATACGATAATATTTTTCTTTATTTCAAATAAGGTCTTTGGAAGGTTCAGCAACAACTTAACCTAAACTCCCTCTCCAAGATGTGTCTAATCTGTAAACCCATGTTAACGCCTTATCCTTTCCTTTAACATTCAATATTACATAATAGACTATTGCATCAGTGCACACAGATAATTATCACCAAATCTTATCATGGCTTCAGTGACAGACACTTCTTTCTGTTTGTATTAGCAGCTAGCCTTCGGGAGCTTCGAGGACGACAGAGCGTGGGCCTCTCCCTCCTGCTGCGGCACCGTCGTGCCTTACGCCCACACCAGGGAATCACCACCTTTCACCAGGCAGGTGACGGGACCCACACTGGATATTCGTGAGGGCCACGTCCTTAGCAGAGAGAAGATTCCTCCAGCCAAGTAAGTTGAAGCAGAGTGAATAGAAGAAAAAGTGTGTGCAACAAGTATATATATATATATATATATATATATATATATATATATATATATACATATATATATATATATATATATATATATATATATATATATACATATATATATATATATATAATGTGTATTTTTTTAGTAGTTATTGCATAAAACACAAATAAGAACGCAGCTCATAAATCGTTGAGAGACAGAAGCCACAACGGCCAACATTATCATGTGGAGAGCTTCAGGTGAGTGGAGAGTATACAGAGCTCACTAATTAACCTGCCCAGCCAGTGTAAACAAGTCAGATTATTAGCCATTCAGTCACATACACCAGAGGAGAACATATATCCTTGTATATATTTACACACGAGAACGCTCGCACGCACGCACGCACGCACACACGTACGCACGCACGCACACCCACACACGCACGCTACAGGGGCCTGGTGGATAGCGCACAGGACTCGTAATTCCCGCACCAGGCAGAAACAAATGGGCAAAGTTTCATTCACACTGAATGCCCCCTGTTACCTAGCAGTATATAGGTACCTGGGAGTTAGTCAGCTGTCACGGGTTGCTTACTGCGGTGTGTGTGTGTGTGTGTGTGTGTGTGTGTGTGTGTGTGTGTGTGTGTTGTAAAAAAAAAGTAGTAGTTAGTAAACAGTTGATTGACAGTTGAGAGGCGGGCAGAAAGAGCAAAGCTCAACTCCCGCAAACACAACTAGGTGAATACACACACAGCCGGGGAGCCGGTAGCCGAGCGGACAGCACGCTGGGCACGTGATCCTGTGGTCCCGGGTTCGATCCCGGGCGCCGGCGAGAAACGATGGGCAGAGTTTATTTCACCCTATGCCCCTGTTACCTAGCAGTAAATAGGTACCTTGGGGTTAATCAGCTGTCACAGGCTGCTTCCTTGTGTGTACTCACCTATTTGTGCTTGTGGGGGTTGAGCTTTGGCACTTTGGTCTCGCCTCTCAACTGTCAGTCAACTGGTGTTCAGGTTCTTGAGGCTACTGGGCTCTATCACATCTACATTTGAAACTGTGTATGGAGTCAGCCTCCACCACATCACTGCCTAATGCATTCCATCCATTAATTCCATCCGTGTGTGTGTGTGTGTGTGTGTGTGTGTGTGTGTGTGTGTGTGTGTGTGTGTATTTACTATATGTGTCTGCAAAATCGAGCTATTATCTCTTGGACCCCGCATTTCTAGCAAACCTATTTTTCGTCTATTACATCTACTACATGTCTCTTCCACATATATTACATACGCACACACAGTAGGGACCTGGTGGCTGAGTGGACAGCGCTCGGTATTCGTAATCCGAATACCGAGGTTTCATTCGAGGAATACCGAATATTCGTAATAGAATTACGAATACCGAGCGCTGTCCGGGGATCGATCCCCGGTGATGGCAGAAACAAATGGACAGAGTTTCTTTCATCCTGATGCACCTGTTCACCTAGCAGTAAATAGGTACCTGGTACCTGGCTGAGTTAGATAGCTGCTTCGGGCTGCTTCCTGTGTGTGTGTGGGGGAAGGGGGGATGGAAATTAGTTGATTGATTGACAGTTGAGCGGCGGACCGAAAGAACCAAAACTGAACCCGCGCAAGCACAACTATGTGAATACACACACATTCCCAGGAAGCAGCCCGTAGCAGCGGTCTAACTCCCAGGTACCTAGTTACTGCTAGGTGAACAGTTGCATCAGGGTGGAAGAAACTCTTCCCATTTCTTTCTACCTCCGCTGGGAATCCAACCCGGTCCATTAGGAATACGACCACCTAGCCCTGGCCACTCAGCCGCGAGGCCAACCCAACAGGTGTGTTTGAGTGTGTATATATTCAAATATATACATACTAGGATGGATATACGGCTGTACCCGGGTATTGCGTCCTGTTTGGTATCACTTTTTGTTTGTATTCCTTCTGTTAAGATCTTGCTTGGGTTTAGAGAGATACGCAGACTGTACTTCTTGGCTTTATTAACTGTGGTAGAATAAATAACTAGCACACCAAGGTCCTGAGGTCCTGCTCTGAGCCAGGTCTGGGAGGTACTGACTGACTTACTAGAAAACGGCTACTGCTCTGCTCTGAGGAAGGACGTCATGAGGTTCACTGGCGACATGATTGGCTGTTCAACAACCAACATAGAATTTAAAGGCTAACTCGGGATAGTCTGTCTCTCCCTCCGCCCCTGTGCCCACGTCCAACCTTCTACCTTCATCACTCACGCTCTTCCCCATCCTTCCTCTCTCCCCCTCTTCCCTCCTATCTCCAGTATCTTCTTCCTTCTCTCCCCTCAACTCCCCCTCTCCCTACCCTTCCCCATCTCCCCTTCAGCTTCAAACAGATAGACATTTCAATTAACATATAGAGTTAATTATGAAAATATGAAGGTCTTCACTCCTTCCCTCGACCCATCCCAAATCCTTTTCCTGACTACTTCCAAGTGCTATATAGTCGTAATGGCTTGGCACTTTATCCTTATAGTTTCCCTTCCCTTCTCCATTTCACTTTCTTTCCACCGTTTTCATCTTCTCTCCCCTTCTACTATCCCTTTATCTCCTCCTCTTTAAGTTTCTTTCACCCTGAATGCCCCTGTTACCTAGCAGTAAATAGGTACCTGGGAGTTAGTCAGCTGTCACGGGCTGCTTCCTGGGGGTGGAGGCCTGGTCGAGGACCGGGCCGCGGGGACACTAAAGCCCCGAAATCATCTCAAGATAACCTCAAGATAACCTCCTCCTCCTCCTCCCCAATCTCCCTCTCTCACCAATCTAATCTTCCCCTCTTTTACCCCCATTTCCCCACCAACCCTCCATTCTCAAACAGGTATATCCATATATCTATTAAGTAAACCATGCAAATGCATGGGCAAATGGCGAGAGTAACTTAAGCACTCTGCGGGCAACACATCCCATATTTAATTTCCGAATTCTTGTAAATCACATTCGTTTCAGTTACAGGTTATATTTCAAAAAGCACATAACTTAGGCCTACCCTGACCAGCCTATGTCCGTCCAGTACCGCAGAGAATTCCTTCTACAAATTTGGGTAAGGTTAGACCCAAGCGTGTGACTTCCAACTTTGGACAGACACACAGAAATTCTCTCCTACTGGTACAGATATATGAAAGAAATCCTCTGTGATTTTGTTCAAATTTATTTAGATTTTTGTTCCGAAAATATGTAAATACGGCTCTTAAGACATACAGACAATCATATACAGATACAGATACACACGTACCTAAAATTATATTTGGAAGAAATTAATTATCTCATTTAATACATGTATTTGAACATTATACGTTAAAGTACATACAGTATGTCTATATACCCACTGAGGAGCAGAAGTTGTGCCTGCAGGATCATGGACCTGGTGGCCTGGGTGAACCACTCGAGCGGCCGGGTGGTGCTGGACTGGACATCGGTGGGCGAGGACAGAGACTGGGGCCGTGCTCACGTCTACGAAGGCTACGTCGCCCCTACCAAGATCGAGGCGGCTCTCAAGTGCACGGGTGAGAGGATCAGAGGACTCCCGGCCCCGGCACCTGCTACCAACAAAGAGAGGGCTGCCGTCGCCCTCACTGTCCACGAGAAGGTGAGCTGGGAAAGGGACATGGTACACCTTCGTTGTGTTTTTGTGGTTTGGAGGTGAGTGGTCCAGGCTTTGACACACTCTGTGTCTATTATGATTTGAGGCATAGTGCTCTTTTCATCTCATTGCTTAAGGGGTTCAGTTTGGTTCAAAATACGCTGAATTGTCAGGTGGTTTACACGACTTTCGTGTTGGTTCTACCTCCCTCCGCTACCCTCTCAGTGTTGGGGCGGTATACTGTGTTTTTCACCCATCTGTTGAAATGTTTCCAGAGTTGTAATCTTTCCTGCTTTGCTTTGTTGTAATGTCTGGCACTAGCGGCTTTATTCAACCACAAGACCATCTCAACTCATTTAATATATAAATATGCATTTTTGTTATGAACTTTTTTGTGTGTTTTAACTGTGAGCTAAAAATCTATGGTTAACAGGATGACTACTTCTATTTTTAGACATTTTAATTGAATGATACAGTTTAGTTTCAGCAATATACCCCAATCATTTAAAATTAACTTCAACACTTGTGATAATGAAGGTGGTTCTGTAGCAGGACAAAGGTAAAATATATTGTATTTTATACATATTCCAGAAAGTGCTGTGGGTGTGTCTTCGGGCGGTGGACCGTCACGGGAACAGAGGTCCTCCCAGCAACCCTGCCGCTCTGTGGCTTCCCCGACCTCCAGCCACAGACCAAGTCACCATCAGAGCAAGAGGTCCGGGTAAGACTTTCAGCTATGGTAGTCATTATTATATTTAAAATTTACCCATTAGATTTGGCAATGAGAATGGTGAATTGTATCTGTGCTTCTTGCATTTAGAATCTGTGAGTTATACCGGCAGTTTAAGCAATAAAATAATAATGATATCAAAGCAAAACAATGACCGTAATCTGCACTGGATCAAGCTTAGGCTACAAGATGCAAGGCTAAAAGTGAAAAATAAATATATTTCGGAAGTTAAGCATCGGCAAGATTTATATAAACATAGTGGATTGATCAAAAACTATATCACATCTTAAAATGTGCGTTTATATGTTATTATAAGGATTTATAATGTAATACAATCACTACGTTTTGATGAACTTTAGGGAAGGTCCTGAAATCAGATATCTATAGAATAATCTTATAAATGTATCGTCAGAGGGAACTAAGTTCATTGGGAAAATTAATTTTGTATAAAACTTCCTTCAAATATGTTTCCTAATTTCTTAAATAATTAAATTTTATTTATACTCTGTTTAAACTGTATTTTTATATTGGGATGACACATTATTGTTGAAACACGTAGTCACAGGTACAAGCTGGCGTTTCAAGGATAATTGGTCACAGGCGAGTTAACGAGAGGAGATAATCATCCGAAATTTTCTATTTTTAACTAATAGATATAAACCAGCTGAGCCTGATTTGAGATACATATTTGCAAGTTAATGAACTGCTAATTGCTGCAGTGTCAGAGAAAATAAAAAAAATATTTTCCTGAAATAAAATTGAAACAATTTTACTCTCTTGGTTCACTTTATGGATTTTTATGGTTATTAAGACCAGTAGACCGTGGAATGCTTATTTATGTCATCACAAGAACTTATTGACCAAGCAGCAAGAGCACTAATCCTCATATGATTCTGGGGTATATAGCCCTTGCTTACTCTCGGTATGGTGTTGGTGTTCAAGCCCCTCAACCACCTCAGTTATTAAGGCTACCACGAGAGGTTACTTATCAACCAGCAAGCATACTTTAACCCTCATACAGTTGAGAGTTAAAGTATACTCTCTGCAATATTTATCTTGAAGCTCGTGCTTCTCTCTGTAAATATCTCTTCCTTACTCTCGCTGATCCAGCAGACCTAATTCTCATTTGAAGTCACAATATATACTTGCGATATATGAGAATGGAATTATGTGCAAAATAAAAATATTAATAATAAAAAGTGAGGCATGAACAGCATATGTTTATGGAAGACACTGAGAACAATTAAATGGGAGTTGAAGAAAACTTATAAATAAAATAAGCGCTCTCAGTGAACACATCAGCATTATAATGATCAGTTTTTTTATAGTTAATCCCATGTATAGGTCTCTGCTGTACTTTATTAGTTTTTGCTTATATTTTGATTACTGAATCATCGAATACATTCATATCTGCATATTTGTCAATATATGATGAATTCTTATGCGTGCTGACCAAAGTCGGTTCATTCTATTCATGAAAAAACACACTTTAAAAAAGTGAATTGTGAGGAAATTTCTGTTAATAATTGAAAGTGTAATCATCGTTCAATACCACGTTAATTTGCTTAATGCTACTTTCAAAATTTGTCAACCTGAGATGCTGTAGAGAAAGAGAGAAAACGGTCATCCTTGTGATTTGTCTCAATTGTCATTTCTATTCTAGAACTACCAAAACAACTAATTATTCACATCTGATGAGAACAGTTGAATGCAGTGACTACCAACGCTGGCTCCCAAACTCAAAAGTAAACAAACACAATCACTTAGTCAATGGACGTTAATACAAGATCTTCAGCGGAATATTTAGTTCAGTCGTCAATATCCCTTTCCTCAAAACCTTCCTCCCCCCCCCCCCCCCCCCCTCCCTCTCTCTCCCGACAAAACTCAGTAAAATAAAGCATGAATATATATTTGATTTACATGAATCAATTTCATTATATATACAATTATGACGAGCATTACCATCTTCATTTAGTATCATACCATCAGTAAATCCTCTCCGACCCGATACTGATAGGTTTAGGTGTGAGCAGCTGGCGGGTGTGCAGCAGTCATTAAAAGCTCTGCCATCTTGCGAATTCGTCCCTTTTTCTTACCCTTCTTTACTTCAAGATTATTATTAACAACAACTAAAAGTTGCATTAATCTGTATTCACACGAAGTAAGCAGTGATTATAAATTAAATATTTCATACTCAGTTTAGAGAGCTGCGAGGCAGCCCAGGACCAACACCCTGCGTCCTAATCTGTGGCCTCGTCTGTGGTAGAAAAAAAGGCGTCCTGCTATCTCTTTCCGCTCATATTTATAAGAAATTTACTGGCATTTGTATAAATTTTAAATAAAAGTTGACATTTCCGGTCTAAATGTATACTGTTACAATAAAATTTTAAATACGTGTAACGAGAGATAATGGAGCACGTGCCCCGAGGAGGAACGAGGGTTGTGTGCGCTTACGTTGTCTGGGGTTTTGTTCACCCTTGGTACAGCATTACAAACGTGTTACCTTTATTTATCACGTGTGTTTTTACGAACGAAGGTTAATACGGACTCGGATGGTTTGGTCTTGGGCTTAATGTCTGCAATCTGCGAGAAAGCTATTGACGCACTACGATGGTTTAAACAATCCAGCAGGAATGGGGTACAAGTGTTGTGTTAATTGTCACTTCAGAGGTTGCATGGCGTTTCACCTTCCTTCTTATGATGTCTTCAACTGAAGAGACAACTAACACAACACCTGTACCCCCTATTAGACTATTTTACAGGAACTTCTTTTCCACAGCTCATAAAACGGAGGAAAGGGTCCTGAAAGATATTGTTAGTAGAAACGTTATCCCTACAGACAAAAATCAGAAGATACAATTGACGATTTACTATAAAACCAAGAAAACGACCAACCTACTCATGAGAAACTCTCCAGATACAAAGCAGAACGCTTTAAAAGAGACCAATGTCGTCTACGCCTTCAAATGCCCTCTTGGGGACTGTAAGCCTCAAAGAACTCAGTATATAGGCAAGACAACAACATCTCTCAAAGGGCCAGTCGGCCCTTTGCAGTTACTTCCATCCTTACCTTCAATTTACCCAATTAATACCCATTGTTTTGTGTTCTGTCCTGTGTTGAAATTTTTTTTCACCTCATCCAAAACTGTTGTAACATATCACCTCACCCAAAATGCGGGTATAAAATGAAAGCTGTTTAAATAATAGCATAGTAAGAACTCTGTTTAGTGTTTGCAGGTTATAGTTGTGTGTGTGTGTAAACTAAAAGTCTTTGAAAATGTAATAAGTTATTTCGAAACGCGTTCAAGTGTCGCGTCAGACTAGAAATAAAAATGGGATTTTGGAGAATTGATTTTTCAATTACCATCAACAGTGAAAAGAAACATAAGAAATATTGACAAAATTCGTGTTAGAATTATTAATTTTACTTTTTCGGTCATATTTAATAATATATGTCTACAGGAAAGACTGCTACCAAAATATACTAATATATATATATACACACATACCAAAAGAATAGGAGTGGTAGGAGAAGAAAATATCAAAGTGTTCAGTGAGGATCCACAAGGTCTTCTCTGAGTACTCTTTATTTTCTTCTCCGAGGCTATGGGTCTCTACAATTGCACCAGAGGTGGTACCCCTTCTAGGTTTAAAAAAAAAAAAATAATAATATAATATATATATATATATATATATATATATATATATATATATATATATATATATATATATGTGTGTGTGTGTGTGTGTGGTGTGTGTGTGTGTGTGTGTGTGTGGTGTTGTTGAATATGACCGAAAAGGTAAGATTAATAATTCTAACTCGAATCTTTTCAAATGTCTTACGTTCTTCTTCACTGTCGAGGGCAGTTGATAAAGCAACTCTCCAAAATTCCTTCTTTTTATTTTTGGTCTGACATCTTAACGCGTTTCGTAATTTCTTATTACATTTTCAAAGACTTAATTTACACACAAAATGCATTCATTCTTATAATCGTTTTTGGGTGAGGTGATATGGCACAAAAGTTGTGGGTGAGGTGAAACTTAAGACAGAACAAGAAAGAACTGGTATGAAAATATAAAAATATAAGTAACTGCTGAAGGCCTATTGGCCCATACTTCGTCTTGCTGCTTCCATATTGGATCTATGTCTTGAAGTGGGTAGAATATAGCTGTGCATTAATTGGCTGTTGATTGCTGGTGTGGACTTTTTGAAGTGTAGTGCCTCGCTGATTTCGACAATTAATCGGGACAGTAAAGAAGAACGTAGGAATATATATATATATATATTAATATATATATGTCGTACCTAGTAGCACAGAACGCACTTCTCGGCCTACTATGCAAGGCTCGATTTGCCTAATAGGCCAAGTGAATTTTTTTATTTTCAATAATTTTGTTACTTTAATTATTTATATTATATTATGAATATAAATTATTGACTTAGTTATGTTAGGTTAGGTTAGATTAAGGTAAGTTAGGTTAGGTTGGTTAGGTAGGTTGGTTTAGGTTAGGTTGGTCATATCTCTGCGTTAGTTTTAACTCAAATTTAAACAAATGAAATCATACATAATGAAATGGATAACTTCATCATTTCATAAGAAAAAAATAAAAATGTGTTAATTCAGGAAAACTTGGCTTATTAATCAAATCGGGTCTTGCATAATAGGCCTAGTACTGCCTTCTGGCTACTAGGTACAACATACATATATATATATATGCGAACAAGCCTGAATGGTCCCCAGGACTATATGCGACTGAAAACTCAAAAACTTTTTTTTGTTCCTCACGTGTGCCCAAAGAATGAGGTGATTATGGTGAAATGATATGCCCAGGATTACCATCCGAGTTGCCGGCGGGAAGTGGTTCAAATAGCTTCGGCTATCACTTCCTTTTGTCCGGCCGTGATGGTCAAGCGGATTAAGGCGCCCTGTAGTTACCAGTTGCGTTGCTCCTGGGAGTATGGGTTCGAGTCACTTCTGGGGTGTGAGTTT